GTGTCATAATTAAAAAAAAAAAAAGGTACATACATGTCAAGTCAAAGGCTCAGTAATATCCAAAACTGTCAAGCAAAATAACTTTATCTCTCGTTAGATCCAAACTGAATCATCTTACAAGCAACGCAGAAAGACAACTGATGGGAGGAGAAGTAGTAAATAACATATATGAGCAATTACGGAGCTTCAAACATCAGAAAGCATAAAATCGAGTAGGAATGGTACATCAGGTTGAAACAATAAATGCCCAGCAGGACACCAAACAGGTCCTTTGGCTGTTTGGAGCTCAGCCTCCAGAAGAAACTCCAATTTCTGTCAGTGACACGTGAAACTCAACGTGCCAGAACCCTGCAGGAACAGGCAACCGAGCAGCCAGACAGAGCTCCTGACCTAGCACATCGCAGGAGAACAAAAAAGGAAAACAAGGAGTTCTCTTTTATTTTGGAAAGATCTTAATTTCAAATGCAGAGATGAGTCTCAGGCCGAGTACAACGTGAGCCTGGTATCTGATGAGAGGCCTTCTGAGTGCTGTCAGAACACATCTGAGCAATGGTGCATCAGGGAAAAGGCTTCTCTGACCCATGCAACAAACTGGCTGAATCCTTGAACATGAGATCTGATCACAGCTGTGGTTTCTGAGCAGAGCTGATGTTGTCTGTCCTGAAGGCAATGCGGGCAAACCTGTTTGGACCCTGGGCCACGAGGGATGGGAGCCTATTCACCCACGATAACCATCACAGCCCAGAGTCCAATTAAAGCAGATGTTTTAAGGAAAACCCTAACTTAATTTAAAAAAACAAATTAATAACATGCATACAACCTCCTTGTTAAATCATTCCATTACTTTAACAGCTTTCACTTCCAAGAAGGAAAAAAATGGCAAGGAAGTGAGAGGTATCTGTTGTAACCCAAGGACACAAACTGAGGCAGCCTTCCAGATTAATGAGCCTGGTCCCTTCTCGTTAGAGCCCAGCTCATCACACACAGATCACATCCTTCGGGATCCTTCCCTTTCCTGTTCCTGTCACTGCTCCCAGGCTGCTCCTGAGCATCACTCACTGCACAACCAACAGTCAGCGTTGGGGGTTTTCTTTACATCCACCCCAATACCCAACTCAACTGGCTCCAAACAACAGCAACTCACCCCGATAAAATCAGCCACTGTTTATTTGGTCATTTCATAGCAGAAAAAGGGGTTTAAAAACTCTGCTGAAGAATAAAAGCCAAGGCTTTGCTTGTAATTTCAGCTTGCACATTGTACCTAAGAGAAATCGCATTGCTGAAAGGGTTTGTGTTTAGGTAAAGTCCCTCAAAAAAGGGCACTGCTGGAAATACTGACGGTGGGATGCAAATAAATGCAGTAAAAGGAAAACAAAAGGAAAGACAACAGATGGATTCAGCAGGGAAACTGAGCAGCTGAGCACACTGGGCCAAGAGAAGGCTCTTTGCTCCTGCAAAGGTTCCAGGAGCCCAAAGGACACAGAGCAGGATGGATTTGATGCCGTGCACAGGGGAGAGCACTGATCAAAAAGCAGAGGGAAGTGAAGCACTGCAGCCTGTTTTCTGCATCTGTGGCCCCTCACGTCAATCCATACCTGGCTTAGCACCATTTACTTGTTCCAAAGAACAGATGGGGATGGGAAAGGGAGAAGGAATGTGGTATTAGGCAGGCTGAAGAAGCAGAAAGTGCTCTCAGTTTATGGGAAAATGGATGTTTTGGGTTTAAATTTAACGGAATGAAGCATCTGTGCTGGAAATTATTTGAGTCATTTTTAAGAGAGATCCAGTTATGGACTTGATCAGAATATGCTTAAGCCAATACCAAAATACACAGAATCCTAGAATCATTTAGGTTGGAAAAGACTTCCCAGACCATCGAGTCTGTGACCGATCCCCACCTTGTCCCCCAACCCAGAGCACTGAGTGCCATGTCTAGTCGTTCCTTGGACACCTCCAGGGATGGGGACTCCACCACTTCCCTGGGCAGCCCCTTCCAATGCCTGACCACCCTTTCCATGAAGAAATTCCTCCCGATCTCCAACCTGAACCTCCGCTAGCACAGCTTGAGGCCGTTTCCTCTCATTCTGTCCCTTGTTCCCTGGGAGCAGAGCCCGACCCCCCCTGGTTCCCCCCTCCTGTCAGGGAGATGCAGAGAGCCAGAAGGTACCCCCTGAGCCTCCTTTTCTCCAGGCTGAGCCCCCCCAGCTCCCTTAGCCACTCCTGGCATTCCAGACCGTTCCCCAGCTCTGTTCCCTTCCAGCCCCTCAATGCCTCTCCTGCCGTGAGGGGCCAGAACCAGACACAGCACTCGCGGTGCCTCAGCAGTGCCCAGCACAGAGAGACAATCCCTGCCCTGGTCCTGCTGCCCACACTGGTTTTGATACAGAAGACAAGAGGGGAGAGGCTGCAGAGCCAGGGCCAAGCACTTTCAGGAACCTGCAGGGTGATTCAAAACAGGAAGCGTGAGATGACAAGCCCAGCCGTGGGTCTGAGAGTGAACTCCTGCCTGGGATAGGAAGTGCACCAGAAGGGCTCCGGTAAGATCAGCTCGTGTAACAGAAGCCTCTCCACATTCTGCCACAGAAACAAAGGGAGTATTGAGGAAGTCCCAGGGGAAGCACTAATTAATGCAGGTGTCAGGCACGCCCGACCTGGTGAAGCCCCCAGGGCTCCTGACACAGCCGACCCCCCGACAAACCCCTCTGCTTTAGGGAAAGGAAGAGTTTGATCTATTTTATTTAAGAAAGGATTAAATTAAGGTTTCTTTACATCTATGGATCAGACAGCAGATTTGTAACAAATAAATAAATACTAGACAATGCTGTAATGTCACGACACGACACAATAAAGGGACGGGTTACAGGATTATCCCAACAGTGATTCTGATACCCTGACCAGCTTAAGGAAGACAAACAATCCCAGAGCTTTATCTGAGTCAAAACACCCTGATGTTTAAAAGCATAGATAGGCTCCCTTGCGTGATAGGGACAAGTACTTGTGTGAGAGATGTCAGATCTATTTACTGCAAAAACAGAATTCTGTGAAGATACAAGTAGAGTCACAGAATCCCAGACTAGTTTGGGCTGGAAGGGACCTGAAAGCTCATCCAGTCCCACACCCTGCCATGGGCAGGGACACCTTCCACTATCCCAGGTTGCTCCAGGCCTCCTCCAACCTGGCCGTGGACCCTTCCAGGGATAGGGCAGCCACAGCTTCTCTGGGCAACCTGTGCCACAGCCTCATCCCTCTCACAAGGGAGAATTTCTTCTGTAAGAAGACTGGGATTTTTACTATTCTTTTTTTTTTTAACATAAGTCACATTTAATACAAGTTGTTCTTCCCTCTCCCACATCTGTTCTTCTGGCCGTTCAAACGTTACCTATATTATAGTGTTTTAATTAATTTCAGTACATACATAATTAATTATATTGGAAGAACCAGCTCAGAACACAAACAGCAAAAACTGTCTGTACAGAGAAGGAAAGACAACCTGATAAAAACAAAAAAATCAACCAGGACAGTTTTAGATGTAAGAGCAGCAGAACTACAGATGGTCAGGAGATGGAACTGCCTTTCTAAAGACAAGATCTGTCTCCATAAGCTCCAAACCAATCTGCAGTGAGAGACGTGTCAACACACAGCAGACGCTGCTCTGAGCCTGTCCGACCCGCGTCTGTCAGAGCCCTCGGCACCACTTTCCTTGGCAGTCTGGGACACCAACACCCAGCCCCGGCCGTGGGACAAGGCTCAGCTTAACCCCCCCTGACCCTGGAACACGGGAAGGGCAGAATCTCCCCAAACCCTGCCCGGCTCCCACCTCCCCAGCTCCCCAGGACAGCCCGTCCCTCCCAGCGACACACTGCCAACCTGTCAGCCGTGTCTGCGAGGGGTACTTCTGTCAGCCCTCATCCCTGCCGAGCTGGGGAGCCCCAGATCTCCCCCTGCCCAGCCGGATACCCACAGGACGTTCCCGGGGCTCTGCCCCTTCAGTCCCCCGGGCGCTCCAACACGGAATTCATCCCACCCCTGGAGCGCCCAGGGCCAGGCAGGACGGGGCTGGGAACGACCTGCTCCGAGGAAAGTGTCCCAGCCCGTGGCAGGGAGTGGGACGGAATTAGCTCGGAGGTCCCTTCCCACCCATCCCATCGCGGCCCCTCACGGGGGCGGTGACACCCCCGGCGCTCGGACGGGCGGTGCCGCCGGGCCCGGCGCGGTGCTCACCCTGCGCGCTGCAGTCGGCGCACACCTCGCTGCTCCTCAGGCGCTTCGCCATCGCGGCCCCGCCGGGAGCGGGAGCGGGGCCGGTAACGGGCCCCGCCAGCCCCGCGCCGGCACCGCGCATGCGCACCGCCTCACCCGGCGCCGAGCCGCAGGCGCACGGCGCCCCGCGCCGCCATCTTTACTCCTGGCAGCCCGCAGTGTCAGCCCCTGGCAGGGACCTGCCTCAGATCGAGCGCTGTTTCAGCGCGGCAGCGCCGAGCGCTCCCGCCACGTCCTCCCGGCGGGAGGATGGGAGAGACTGGCGCTCCGGGAGCCTGGAGAGAGAGGCCGCTCTCCGGCAAGCCCTGCCCTCACCCGCCATGGCGGGCGGGCGAAACCAACGCCGGGGAGAGGCGGGGGGAGGGCATCTAGCGCGGAGCGCCGCGTCCGCCCCAACGCCGCGCTGCCCGTCCACCCCCTCCGCGCGGGGAGCGGTGGGACAGCTGCGGGCGGGACGTTCCATCCACCCGCCCGCGGAGGGGGGGGGGGAGCAGCAGCTTCCGCTTTCTGTGCGTTCGCCGGTAGCGACGGAGCGAGGGGGACTGCGGGGAGCCCCCCCCTCCCCCCCGCGCCGGCCGCGCTGTGGTTCGTCCCGGCCTCCCTGGAGGGACGGGGGGGCGGCTGAGGGGGGAGAGCGGGGGGATCCCGGGAGTGAGGGGTGCGGGGCACCGGGGCAGGGGAGAGCCCGGGAGCGGGGGGTGTGAGGGTGCTCAGGGGGAGGAGAGACCCCCCCCAAGAGTTCGGGCTGGGGCGGTGTCTCCCCAGGGAAGACCCTCAGGCTGCAGGGGGGTGCTCAAGAGCAGGGGACCCCCGAGTTTATAGGGCAGCGGGGACCCCAGGAGCGGGGGAGACCCTGGGGAGCAGGGGGCTGTGAGGAGGCGCTCAGGGGCAGGAGAGATCTTCAGGAATTCGGGCCCGGGGGTTGCCCGGGAGCAGGGGACCCCTAAGAGTGTGGGGATCAGCAGGATCACCGGGAGCAGGGGAGCCCCCCAGGCGTGCCGAGAGTGGGGTCTGGGGGGGTTTCCCAGGAGCAGGGCGTCCCCAGGGGTGGGGTTTTGCATGGGGTGAAGGGTTCACAGGGGCCGGGAGAGAGGAGGAGCTGCAGGGGTTCAGGGCTTGAGTAACTCGGGGTCTCCCGAATCCAGTGAGGGCCCCCGGCTCCCCCTGCCCACGTGTGAGCCGGGATGAGCTCCCCTGGCAGGGCCGACAGCGCCTTCCCCCTGCACGTCCTGGTCTGGAATAACGACTACAGGCGGCTGGAGCAGGAGCTGCAGGACAAGGTAAGGGCGGCCCGGGCACGGGGGGTGGGGGGCAGTGGTCCCAAAGAGCTCCTGCACAGTGCAGGGCTCGGTGCTCCCCACCCACTGCCGTGCCAGGGAGAAGCACCTTGGTGGTGCTGCCGAGTGTGTTGAGGGATCCCTGCACTGCTCTGCCTGTTTATTTGTGGTGTGGAAGCGATGTAGGAAGGCTCAGGAATATACTTGACTTTAGATAGTAAACATTGGTTTTGCATCTGTAAAGCTCTGCTTGGAGCATTCCAGTGCAGCTGCAGAGAAGCTCTTTAGAAGGAATTAGGAGTCCCTGAAACAGCTCAAGAAGAGCAGCTGTGATGGACATTAGTTTATTTATTAAAATAATAAATGCTGCTTATCCCAATGGGAAGTCAACCTTCGGCAAAGGTGCCACTGCCAAAGATCAAACCAGCCCCTGGCTTGCTGAGCACCAGCAGTTCTCATAGATTTGTTGCTGTCCAAGACTGGTGGCAGAGTTTTTATACTGGCTGGAATGTTTTCAGCATCTCTGGTAAAAAAAAAAATAAAAAATGGATCATTGTTCCATGCTGGAGAGTAGAAAACACAAAGCTGTCCCCTCTCTGGGACATAATGACGTAAGGAAATGGCCTGAAAAGCTGCAGTAGAGCTGGAGCAGCAAAAGCCCTCCTGCTGTGGGAAAGCTCTGACAGGGAGTAGCGTGGGGTGCAGTTAATGAGCAGAGCTTGTTAATTAATTCTACCTGACACCACAAGTACATGAGCCCCAGACCAGCTGTGCCACCTCCTGGCTGTCCACCTGCAGCACTAACGTCCACCTGAGTTACTAATGCCTGCTTGGAGCATGTTCCTGCCCTGCATTGGGAGGATCTTTGGAATGCAGTCACTTTTTATCTAATCTTATGCCTTAACAAACTCTTTAACCTCACTTGAACGTCGCTCCTGTGTAGTTATTTCTGTTCACCAGCGTTCTCACCTGGGAGGGTTTGCCATTAAACACAGCAGCTCCCAGCTGGGGAGTGCTGCTCCTCCCTTCGTTCCCTGAGGAAACCAGCAGCGTGTGGAGATGGGACGTGTCTGTCTCTTACATCCTTTATCTGCTTTTAAACACCTTTTTTTTTTTTAAAGTGTTCCAAAGATATTTTTCCTCCCGCTTCCTTGGGATAAACTTCCTGCTGCCGGAGGGGCGTGTGAGGGGATTGGAGCCACTCAGCAGCTGCAAACGGGGGTCGGGCCTGTGGGGACCAGGAACAGCAGCAAAGACAGTGGGGTGGGCACCCTTAGGGCCCTTTCCTTGTTGGTGCTGCAGGTGTTGGAGCTGTAAGAGGTGGGAAAACAAATTAATTAACGTTCCACCACAGAAGTGAAGATGCTTTAAACTGAAGCTTTCCCCACTCTGTGTGTGATACTCTGACTTACTGCTGTCAGATAACCCTGTTAACGTGCATAATAACCTTCTTTTCTCATTCTGCTATTGACTTTCCCCTTTTCCTTTAGTTATAGATGCTCTTCTGTTTCAAATCTCTAAGCTAATAGTGAAAAATGTGTAAGGTATGAGTATGTTGTGCTTGCACGTTTTGGATGTTTGTGCCTATGTAGTTAATTTTTTGTTCTAGTGACTTGTAGAGAATGCCCTCACTCCTCATTGTGCTGTGTGTGCTTTGTGAAACACCATCTGCTTCTGTCCTCTCCTAGAGTGCTGTCCAAAATCTGTGTCGTATGCCCTGTTGCTTTTTTTTCCCTCCCTTTCCCCCCATTTTGTTGTACAGTTTAAGCCCTCTGTGGGGTCTCAGGCTGTTGGCTGTCTGTGGGGTGATGGACACGGACTAGAACTCCCATCTCCTCCTGAAAACAACCCTTCTGGAGGGAGACAGGGGGGAAATAATGACAGAAAAAGAAATGAGAAGCATCAACGAGAACTCACGTCCCACAGTGATGTTTTTGTGCCCTTTATAGGCCCCGCTCTGCTTCTCGTCTTATTTCCGTGGGGAAGCGAGATGGCCCTGCAGAAGGGCAGTGCAGGAGTGTTTGGGAACGGGTGCGTGGGAATGCCAGGGAATATTGACTCCTGGATTAGCACTGTGTTTGTATAAGCCCTGATGAGCTGCATTACTCCTCTCTGGGACACCCAACAGGATGTTGACCAGCGGGATCCGCGGGGCCGGACCTTGTTGCACTTGGCTGTTTCCCTGGGTTACTTAGAGTCTGCCCGAGTCCTCCTGCAGCACAAGGCAGATGTGACCAAGGAGAATGCACAGGGATGGACAGGTGAGGCCAGCCTGGGCAGCAGGAGCCCAGGGTGATACTTCTCAGCAGCACATGCTGTATTTTTTGCTGTTATGCGGATCTTGGTCAGAAAGCGAAGTGAAACGAGGCAGTGTCTGTGTTTCTTTCAGTTTTGCACGAGGCTGTCAGCACAGGGGATCCAGAGATGGTCCAGATGATCCTGCAGCATCGAGACTACCAGCAGGCCTTCATGACCCTTGGAGGAGTTCCTGAGTTACTCCAGAAAATTAATGAGGTAATTATTTCATGTAAACCTCTCACTCCAGACTGAATTCACTGCTATTCTCGTTCAAGTAGTTCAGTGAACTCCAGTCAGCTGGGTAACTGTGTTTTGTTCCAACCTGTGTATTCCATAGTGCTGAGGGAGATGGAGGCTTTTCCTTGACTTTGAAATCCTTAGTTATGAGGATTAAGGATTGCAACACTGGAGGCTGAATCTGGAAGGTGTTGCTGCCTCTCTAGTATAATAAGGAAGAACAGCCCCCCAGAAAGCAGCAGGGGCAGCCAGTGGCTTTTGTGTTTGCCAGTTTCAATTTCAGTTTTAGCATTCACTTAGCATTTCTCCACTTCTGCTCTTTTTTTGTTTTCCTTTATCTAAAATGCTCACGAGAAACACTGCACTGAATGTCGAACTATTTTATGAAGTATTCATCAAGTGTTTTCCTTTTCCAGACTCCTGACTTTTATGTGGAAATGAAATGGGAGTTCACTAGCTGGGGTAAGAATAATCCTGCTCCTCATTACCTCTTACAAGCTGCAGAAATGAGCTACAAATGTCCCACAAAATACACAGGGAAATATCTGCTCCTCAGAATCCTCCTCTTTTCTCTCTCAAAATAACCTCTTGTATTTTTGTTGCACAATTATTCTTTGTTTCCTGTTTATTGGGTTGGTTGTTTTTTAGTTGAGAGTTTAGCTGTTGCAGTTGCTGAAGACTTTCCTTGGGGTTTGTTTACCTGTCCCTGGCCATCCATGACTAAGTGATAACATCTCATCTATGGATGCACAGGGTCCTTGGGAGGTACCTGCTTTTCTCTTCAAGGAATGAACACTGAGCCTCACAGCTGATTAGATATCCCAAATATCAAACTATTAGACTGCTAGAGATGGGGTTTATGTCACTTCACATCTTCTAGTCTCAACAAGTGTTTGCTTGAGTTAGGTGGGTTTTGTCCCTGAGCTGGTTGTTCCTGATCTCGCCCCCTCTGGAATAATGATCCCAGGGCTGAGCAATCCTGTGTCAGGGATGTGGCTGCTGCTGGAGTCCTCTGTGCTGCACCTCTTGACTGTTTCCTGTTTCCTCCTGTCTCCTGATTCCCTGCAGTGCCCCTGCTCTCCAGGGTGTGCCCGAGCGACGTGTGCCGGATCTGGAAGAGCGGGGCCAAGCTGCGCGTGGACATGACCTTGCTGGGCTTCGAGAACATGACCTGGGAGAGGGGCAAGAGGAGTGTCATCTTCAAGGGAGGGGGTAAATACTTCAGCCTCTCCGGTCCCCAGGCACTGTGTGAGCACAATGAAGAATCTGATTTTGCACAAAATGACCTCTTGAAGCTGAGTTTTGTGAGATTTATATGTATATTCACGAGAGTCTCACAGAGATACTGGTTTGTCATGGCTTGATTTCTTTCAGTAAATACGAGGTAAAAATTTGGTGATAGGGCTAAAATTTGACTTCAGTATTTTACTCGGGTTCCCCTCCAAATAAAAAATAATTTTAGCTCCAGCTCCAATTTGATCCCAGCTGAGTGCAAATACAGTGAGGTGACACCCACCCGCGTTTGATACACAATATATCCCCAGCTTTTCATTCTGGAACGCTCATGGTGAGGTTTTTAACTTGAAACGTGGTGTTTCCAACAGACACAGGGGGCTGGGCAGAGGTCATCGTGATCAACCATGACGAGAAGTATGTTATGACAGAGAAGTTTGAGATTTCCCAGCACATGAAGCGTTTGATTTTGGGATCGATGACACCAAACAGAAAAGGTGTGGAAAGACGCCTCACATCTCCAATTATTAGCACATGCCTTGATACCAAAAACATTGCTTTTGAGAGGTAAGGTATAAAGTTCCTCTTAACAAATTAAAATTTTGAGATTATGGATGGTCATAATAGAAAAAAAAGCTTTAAAAACAAACTCAAAAGCCTTTGGAATTAATTTTTTTAGGGCTAGATTTGAAATCACTTTGAACTTCACATCCTGTTACATAAAGAAATTTGATTTGGTGAACTTGCTACTATTGCTTGGCAGAAAGTTCCCAGTAATCATTTGCAGAAAGCTTCCAGTTTATCATAGTAACAAGATAAAATCATTAAGGTTGGAAAATACCTCTAGGATCATTAACTCAATGTTAATGGCTCATTACAAATTTCCATTTCACCCAAATCCATGTGCCGAAACCATTGGACAAGAACTTGCATTTTGTGGCTGATAAGTCCAATCTCTCATGAATGCTTTAAATAAATGTGTATAGCGTGTCTTCCTTGATTACTACACGTTTATCCAGTTGTCTGGGGTTAATAATCTGTCAAATGTTGTTTGAAATCAATTTTAGAAGAACAGTTTGGGGATTGTATAGAAATGCAGCTGTTTAGACACTGATGGTGTTCACTTCTTGTCAGAACCACATCTGGATTCTGGGTCTGGAAGACAGAAAAAGCAGAAGGTGTCAGTGGTTATGAAGCCAAGGTAAAGCCTGTTCTGTTCTTCTAAGAGGCCTTAACAGCAATCTGAAGTGGGGTTGTGTTTTGCCTGTATTTCCTGAATATGTCAGGTCTAAAAATTCCCATTGAGAGATGTATTGTGTTGCCAGCAGAACTGGGCAGGGGTGAGGAACTTCCAGGCTGCCAGGCTTGTGGGAGGGTTTGGAGCCTGGAATGTCAGCAGGGTATAGAGGAGAGGGGGGATTGAAGAGGGGAGAAGAGGGACAGAAGATCCAGCAGAGCTGCCAGCACTCCTTCCTTCCAAAAACTGACACTTAACTCATTCTTGAACATTGTCTTTGTTTCACTGTGTAAAACATGAGGAACCTCTTGAAGTGCCCTGAGCACTCTCTAATAACAGCACTGCAAGGCACCAGCAGCCTCCTGATGCCATGAGTTGCATCATGACTTCATGAATTAGCCCCTGCCCCTGAGTCACAGCTGTTTAGAATGGTTCCATCTGACACTGGTTTTGTCCTTGATTTCAACTCAGTGAAGTATTTCTGAAAATAGCTTTAGCAGCCTTACTGTGGTAGGAATTTGAGTTCAGAATCACAAAACTTAATTTTCCTGATTCACGAGTCTGTGTTTACTCCAGGTTTGGGAATTTGTGCAATGAATTACATTTTGTAATTTCACTCAGCAGAAGAATAAATGCTGAGTAGCTTTTACATTTGTGTGAAGGCTTTTCCTGATAAGAGTGCAGGACTGTTCAGTTGGACAGGGGGTTCATTAATGTTCCTGCAGAACTAAACTCACTAAATATCATTTGGGAGGTCTTATAAGTGATCTAAGTGATCTCTGTTTAGAAAAAGCATCTGACTTCCTTTCTCCATTCCCTTGTAAAATCTCTTCTTTCCAGCAAGCTTGGAAATGCCTAGTTTTGAGGTTTGTTAGGTCAGTTTTGTGCACAGGGTGTTTTACTGCAGAAAACTCACTTGTTTAACCTGTGATGCTGCTTGGGTTTTTGTCCCTGTGTTTTTTCAAGGTCTACATGGCAAACAATGTGAACGTGGTCACACGAATCCGCACGGAACATTTAACAGAGGAGGAGAAGAGGAGATATAAAGGTATTTTTCCCATAGGTCAACTGGAAACAAGTAGAACCTTTTGGCTCTCCGATACCTTCTCTGTGTGACTGCAGAAGAACTGAGCAGACAGACAAGGGAAATTCTTTTCTTGATGACTTTGCTTTACTTTCCTGTGTTATATGTCTGAGGGAGCTCAATACTCAACCCCTAACCTACAAATGAACCTGTATTTATCCCAGCTCTATTTAGAGGAAAGCAAAGCCCTTCAAAACTGCTGAAAGTTTATTGACAGTTTTAAAAGGCTGCACTTTTCTGCTCTGGAATGTATTCCTGCCTGTACTTTGCATTGGCAGCAGTTACAAAATTCACAGAGGCCTTGTTTGCTTGGAGTTTTTGTTTAATTTTGGTCCACTAATTTCTTCTGGTATTTAAATTAGAGTACAGGGTAACCAGCCAGTAACTTTGTATGGAAGTTCTCCTACCCTGGGGCCACTGTGAGACACTGGGAATCATATAGGTGTCTGCTAATCATAGAAACCACTAAAAAAATCTTTGCCTCTATTCTGTGTATTGTACCTATTTCATACTGACAGCTCTAGGTCCTGGGCTTGCCTGGCAAAACTCACAGGAAATAGGAACAACTTATTTCACTTTGGGTTGGAGGCCTGGCTGTTAACCTGGCCTGTATGCACATTTTGCTGCTAATTAATAGTAATAAGTGTTTTTGTTTTCTCTCCTGTTAGCTGAAGCTGACAGGAACCTCCTGGACTCATTCTTGGGGACAGTGGAGCATGAATATGGTGCTCAGGTGAGTGTCTGATGTCAGCACAGGTCACTGCAGCACAGAAATCCATCCCAGTAGGATCTCCAGGTGTGTGGAATCACCCCTTGTTTCCTTAGTTTGGCAGCAATTTTGATTATGAGGTTTAAATTTCCCCTACGGATGTTTTTGTTTGGTTTAAGCGCTCAAATGTTCTGGATGAATAGCAGGTACCTCCTTCTTGGAGGAAAACTACGTGGATCTAGAGACTTTAGTTTCAAACACCTCATCAGAGTTTTGCCTTTAGTACAGGATTTGGGGTCTGGAAATGCTGTGGCTCCTGTGTGTGTTTCTGGTTGGTTTCCAGCTTCAAAATATTTAAGTAGATTCTTCCTGTCTCTAAAATACTTGGAGATTTTTACCCTCAGTAGAAACTAGTCTAATAACAACTTGTATTTATGGCTGGTGTCACTGGTGTAGAATATATAAATGTATAAAACAGAATGTATAAAATAGAGAAGGAGAGTTACTTCACAGGAGGTAACTTGGAAGTTTCCTGTAGTAGCCACTGTCTGTTTCTTTTATACTTTTTGAGTTGGTTTTTTTCCCACTCTTTCCTTCCAGAGTACGACCAAGACAACAGAGTGTGCTGCAACCAACAATCCCACTGCTATTACTCTGGAGGAATACTTTGACCCAGAATTTGATTTGAAAGGCAGAGACATAGGAAGACCAAAGGAAGTCACCATTCGAACACAGAAGTGAGAAATACCATTTTAACTGTTTCTGGTTTGTCTTTTCCCAGTTATCTAGTCTCTGGAAACCACGTTTACAAATATCCAGTGTGGTTTTTCCCAGCTTTCACAATTAATCATAAGACCTTTAAGTATTCAGCTGTAATCTATTTTTACTTCCACTGAGTCAAAGAAAACATTTGGACTAGTGCTGTAACTTGTTAGTAATCTCCTGTTACTGCCCAACTGCCTGTTTTGCTTTGCATGTGTTCCTAAACTGTGAATTTAGGATGTTTTTATGCTACTTTCTCTCTCAGATTTAAAGCAACCTTGTGGATGAGTGAGAAGTTCCCCTTGTCTCTTACGGAACAAGTCACCCCAATCATCGACCTGATGGCCAGAACTAGTGCTCATTTTGCCAGACTTAGGGATTTCATCACTCTGGACTTTCCACCCGGATTTCCTGTCAAAATTGGTAATATTTAGCAATTTTTATTGTAGCATCTTCGTAAATTCTGAATGACCAGTACAGAAATATAATTTCAAAGACAGTGTCGTTTCAGTGACAGTGAGCTGTTGCCAGCCCTTTCCTCTTAACTTTGATGCCTTAAATTTGCCAATCTTATTATTAAATACAAGATTTAGAGAGAGATTGAGAATAACTAAGGGCAGCTTCTTGGTGAAGTGAGTTACTGTGTGCTTTGTCATTACAAGAATATATCCCATGAACATGTAAGGGTCTGATGTAGGTGTGGAAGTGAGTGAGAGTTCTCTTTTTGACAGAAATCTTGTTCTCTTACAGAAATTCCCCTGTTTCACGTGCTGAATGCCCGAATTACATTTGCAAATGTCAACAGCTGCAGGACAGCTGAGAAAAGCTCCTCACAGATGGCTGGAGGTGCACAGTGTGAAGCAGGTACGGAGTGGAAAGGGGCAGTGATCTCATCTTTTACATCTCTGTCAGTGGAATGTACTGAGGGGAGAGATGAGGAATGGCAGGGAATGAAACACTGACAGGTGAGGGGGAGCTGCACTGTGTGACACTGATCCTACTGACCCATCCTGCCCCTTCCATGCCTGCCAAACCCCGCTCCAGACAGCTCTCCTGAGTATTTTGAGCTGTAAATTCTGGTGCAGGTTATTGCTGTGGGAAGCAGAACTCAAAATTGCTGTAAGTGACTTCAGAAAGAAGTGGATTACATTTGAGTAAGATGTTCATAGCTGCATATATCCAGTGATCCTCTGTCCTGTGAGCTGCTGCAGATCTATTCATGAGGAATAACTTCAGAAGAGCCACTGCAGAATTTATCTTTTGCAGCTCCCCCCACCCCCATCTGGTTTTGTCAGAGTTCAGGCACCTCAGTGCTCTGCTGCACCCTGGGTTTATTAGGTGTATCACTTCACATCATCCAAAAAAAGGACTCTGCACTGTTTTGGTTTGCCACAGGCTTTCAAAGCCTCTTGGTGTATTTAGCCAAGTGGTTTTTCTGGATTTTTGCACTTCATTATGCATAAACATGAGAATTCTTTATGTCACAACTTGTAGAAATAACACTTCTGCCATGTTTGCAACTGTGTTTGGCTTCTGTAGGTGCTGGTTTTGAGGTGGACCAGTCGGTGTTTGAGATCCCAGAGTCCTACCACGTCCAGGACGATGGCAGGAACATACACGTGCCGGATGAAGAGTATGAGATCATGCAGTTTGCCATCCAGCAGAGTTTGTTGGAATCTGGAGGAAGTAAAGTAAGTGTGCTGGAATCTGGGCAGTGACAGGTTTGGCGAGGACGGTGCAGATATAGCTGAAGGAAACCAGTGTGGGACTTGTTTTTCTAAGACCTCAGAAGATGAAAATCATGTATTTCAAAGAAGAAATAAGAGTGATTTAAGGGTGGCTTTCGGTGAGTTGCTCTGCAGATCTGGTAACTGCTGTGGAATTGTGTCTTTCCCCATCTGTAGGAATTGGGGGCAGATTCCAATGGAACAGTTGCATATTCCCAGGACTTCGATATACAGTATCAGAGGTAACTAACTTTTTTCACATCAAGCCAAGCAGTGACAGGTGCTACCCACCTCAGTAGCATGAAGCAGTATGGCAGGTTTTTTTGTTTATGTGGGTAGCAGATGCACAGAACCTGAGGTCTCTTATTGTGCTTCTTCCAACTTTTACTTTTCCAGGAAGTAATGACTCCAAACTAGGCCTCCCTGGTTTCTGTAGTGTAGCTCTTCCCAGCTGTGGGACTGGTGTGGTCACACAACAGTTTCTTTACCCAACAAACAAACGCAGTCCTTCTGTTCTGCTCTGAATTTGATCCCTCTGGGTTGAATGTTTGACTGTTAGATGCTGCAATCCTCAGGGCAGCTCTTCTTTCTTTTCAAAGTCTTCATGTAATCCTTAAAAACTCAACATGTGTTTCATGGACACATGAGAATATGCTCTAGTGTCTGTCAGGTGTTCCTGCAGACTTTGTGCACACCAGGAACTGAATCTTCTGGGTTCTTTTGTACATGGGAAGTCATGTTGCCTTTAAACCGGGCGAGGATGCTTTTAGAGGCCCATTGAAAATACAACTGTTTGTATCTATGAAAGCTTCAAAGAGCAGGTTTGACACTGGAAGTTTGACAGATGTGAGAACAGCTGCTCTCTTATCCTCAAGCTGCTTTCTGTCTTCTGGGAGAGATTTTCAGCTTTGTGGGTCTAAAACAGTTGCCGGGAAGGATCAGTGCAGGAAATGTCACATTGGCTCTGTCTCTTTTACTTATCAGAGTTGTTTTTCTCCATCAGGGCACTGCAGGAGAGCCTTATGACAAGCTCGGGGAGCTCCCACTGCAGCAGCCCCAGTGAACCTTCCAGCTTTGAGAAAGACTTGCAGCTTGCCATGGAATTGTCTGTCCGGGAGCAGGAGGAGCAGGAGAAGCAGCGTCAGGAAAAGGAAGATGCAGAGCTTCAGCAAGTGCTACAGCTTTCTCTTGTGGAAAAATAACTCCTCAGTGACCTCCTGAAGTAAGGATGACCAAATCTGTGTAAAACTGAAGGGTTTTGGGGCTGTCAGTCTAAAGACCACTCCTGGATTGCTTAAGGAAACATTTCACCTGCCTTTTAAGTTGGCATCAGCAGCTACAAAAAGCTGACTTATCTTTGTTTGAGGGAGTTTCAGATCACAGGACTCTGCATTTGGCTCCTCAACAGTGCAGTCTTAGCTTTGAAGGAAATGCTTTTATCTAAACTTATTTATTGAAGAGCAGATGGAAGTTTTGCTTTAGCATCAGGATATAGGATTGCAGTAAAGCTTGAAAACCTGATTTTTGGGGAGTTCAGGAGGGAAACTTCATTACTTACCAAAGAAATACTCATCTGCTTCATTATTTCTCAGTAATTCAAAGCCATTGCCTGTTTCTTCCAGCTGTTACAGAGAGCATCTCCCTGCCTACACACACACACGGTAGTTCTTCATGCTGACAGATGTTTTCTGTTAGTTTTGTTTATATATGTGGTTCTCTCTCCTCTAGTTACTGGGATTTGGGCACATGCTCCTGCTTAAGAGGAATAATTTTATACTTGAACAGCTCCAGATTAAAACTAGTGCTTTCTGAAAAAGGACAAAACAAATAGCCAGTAAAATTTTAGATCCTCAAATGGGACCATCTGCCCAGTAAAGCAGCAGTTCCTGCAGTGATTCCAAACCAGCTCGTTCCCGTGGTCAGAGGGCAGCAAGAAAATATGGGATACATACAGGTGCTTCTTTGGGATCACTTGGTGTGTGCCTGAGTGTGGGTGCTAAATGCAACCAGGAAAAGAATCCAGGTGAGATTTTATTGTATCCTTATGGGAAGAGAAGTTTTAATTCTGTCATCTGGAAGGGAAACGTGTGTTGCTTTTTAAAACCCCAGCGCTCATCCTTCATGTGAATACATCTATTTTTTTATCTGAATGTTTTTATTGATTTTAAACCAAGCCACTAGGCCTGTGCTCCTAAAACTGGTCTCGTAACGATTCCCAGGTCAGTTTTAACCAGCTTTCCTCAGGTTTTTGGCCATACAGGATGTTTGTAGCTCTTTTATCTGCACTTCTGTCAGTGTTTACAGTACTCACACTGTGACTCTCAAGTGCACTCCACAAGTACACGATGAACAGCCACAGGAAAGCCTTACAGTTGTTAAATGTGAGCAATATTCCTCTGCTCTGGCTGGCAGGAGTGGAGGAACCTATGGTACCCCTGCTCTGAGCTTGCTCCTAACCCTGCTCCTGTTCCTCAGGCTAAACAGGGCAGTTCTGGGTGACCAGCTATTAATTAACCAGTATAAAATCACTATAAAATGGACTTGATCATAACCAGTAGGATAGTTGGTAACTTGGAACCCTATTTTAAACCAATAATCCGTTGTTTTACATAGGAAATTATTAAAATTCCTTCAGTGTGCACTAGGACTGGCCTCTCCACACTGGTAGTGTCCTCTGGTACAGCTTCATTCCCTAAAAACAGCTTCCTGGGTGCTGCAGGAGCAGGGACTGTCCTGCACAGGAGCAGTGGGCTGGGTTGGAATTGCACCTTTCTTTGAAAAGGGGATTACTGTGACTCTCACAGTTGGGGAAAAAGGGAATAATCCTTGTGTTGAGCTCCTGACAAGGTTGGAGGTAGGAGAGGAAACCCTGGGTGTTTCCTCCAGTGGGAATAAAGAGTGCTGTTGCCTTTACACACCCAGCTGTCTGGCAGTGCCTGTCTTCTGTTAAGCATTTCACAGGTTACAGGAGGGGTAAAAATAATCATTTTTCAAGCTGACTTGTTCTGGGTTTGTATTTAAACTAAAGAACATTGAGCACTTTCAGTTGAAGTTTTGTTATGCTACTGCTTCTTAGTCCGGGACTGTAAAATAAATGGGATTTGCTTTTGGGTTTTTTGCTTTCTATCACATTTGTATCATTCCAGCTAAACTAGAATGCCCTGCTTCCCTCACCCAGGTGCTGCTTTTCTTAAAGCTTGACTTTCAACCCATACAGTGTAAGATGGATCCTCTGTGTGTGTTGGAAATAAAACCAAAAGTACAGCACATGTTACACCACACACAAGGATTTTTTCAAATGTGGTATCTGGAGTCTGTTTTAATAAGTATTTTGTGGCATTTTTGTACATTAAAGTGACATTATCATCTATGAAATTCTCAAAGGTAGTTGTGGTTTAGTCTGAATCAGGCACACAATCCCCAGAATCACTCTTGAGACATTTTCAGCCAAGTTTTGAGTCTTCCTGTCTTGAAAAAGGGGATCAGGTCAACACAGATCTAAGGCAATGAAAGGCAGGGGGTGAAGCTTATTAATTTTTGTTTGCATCTTCTTGTGAGTAACAGAGATGAGGAGAGGGTTCAGATATGTTTAATACTGATGCCACTATTGCTGTGTAACAGCTGATTACAACTTCTCTTTCTGAGGAAGCTGGAGGCTGACGTAGCAAAGAGAAGCTCAGCACTACAAACAGAGCTTGTTCTAAAACTATAACCAGCTTTAAAAGTTCTTTAATCTCATGCTGCTTGTTTCTGAAAGCAGGACTGAGAATGTGCTTTTTTTGTACTTTTGACTTGTTGTTTCAAGGCTCTTTACAACAGTAATTCCTGATTTTCTTTATTTGGAAACCCTTCTTACACTGCTTTGGCTGAGCTTTGGTTCGTGACTGAACTGCTGGTAACTGCACGAGGCTTGCAGGATGAGCTTTCACTGCACTGTTAACAGCTCCTTGCTAACAAACATCCATGGAAACCTTTCCCCAGCACTGCCCTCCCATTCCCTCACTGCTGAAAGCAGGGTAGGAACTGTGAGGTGACCAGAGGTGAGAATAGGGGCAGCCTCCTCCCTCTGTACAGTACAGGCCAGTTAATAACAAACAGCACATCCATGAATAAATAAGAGTCTAGATTGTTTACTGAGCTCTTTATTTGTACAAAGAGGCATGGCAGGGAGTGAAGAATGAAAGCAAACAGGAATGCTGCTCCAGGGAACACGGAGTGTGGCTGGGAGCTTCACCATCCACCCCCATGAGCAGCACAGACTGCAGGCCAGGCTTTACAGCAGATGAAGGACTGAGAAAAATCAAGGATACAGGAATCAGTGAGCAAAAAAAGGAGCAAAAAGCAATAGAACAGTGCTGCTTTGCTTCCCCATTCTCGTTTCATTTGGATTAAGAACTCATTCTGTTCTAGAGGAGCTTCCTACTGTCATTTCACCAACTGAGCAGCAGCAAAGAAATTCCCCCCGTTCAATGCCAGTGGTTGGTGTCCTTCAAATGGAAGGGAAAACACCTCAGATGCAGCACAAGGGGTTAGACAAAAGCTCAACACAAATGTTCTGGAAGTTACATTTTAAGACACTAAATAAATTACTAATAAAACCACCTCTATGTTAAATACCAAAGTAATAATTAGTAAAATCCAGTTACTACTCGTAGCAGTGCAAAACAAAATAGCAGCATTCGTATGAGTGGGATTCAGTGTAAACACTTGGATTTGTTACTGAAAATGCATAAATGGGTCTGGCTGGAGCTCAAACACTTCCAGAGAGCCTGAGCCTGGCAGGTCCCAGCATCTGCCTGGCTTGCAGACCTTTGAAGGCTCCTGTTTCCAGGAGGACAGTGACCAGCACATGCTGGAAACCCTCCCCTGCACCCCAGTTCCAAACAGGTTCAGCAGGGCTGGTTTGGTATGAGGCTGTTTGGGGCTATTTAGCCAAGAGTTAAAGCAAATAACGTTGGGAATGACAAGCCTAGCCCTGAACAGCTACACCAGGATCGGGTGTTTCTGCTCAGAGGCAAGAACATGCCAGACCCCCTCCACCCCCCCCACTGCTGTGGTGAGTCACTGAGCCTTTGCCTTTGGGCCATTTTTGATCGGTTTGGATTGGAAGGGACCAGAAAGCTCATCCTGTTCCAACCCCCTGCCACGGACAGGGACACCTCCCACTCGACCAAGTTGCTCCAAGCCCTGTCCAACCCCCGAGACTCAGCGTTCAAACAAGGAACTGAAATAATGGGAAAACAAACGTGGCTGTGGTGTGACCGAGCGTGTGGACCTGCTCCTCGGACGATGTTCTTGTGCTGATCCAGGCCCCGCGCGCCCACATGCACCAGGGATGCTCCCGAGCACATCCTGTAGGATCATCCTCGCCGAAACGCTGCAATTTGGGAGTATGGGGCGTTGTTCCAGACCCTCCTCACAGCCAGCCGGGTTTGCTGCGAACACGCTGCCGGGAGCTCCAGGAGCCCGTTCGCTGAGGGCTGGGGTGTGACTTCCAGCCCCTGGACAGGCCCTCGCTCAAAGCAACGTCACGATGGAGCCACACGATGCAGCGCGGGACGAGACGGGCGAAAAGCCACCCCCGCATGGTCAGGGCATCGCCGGCGGCGGCGGGACAGCGGGTACCACATGGGAGAACCGGACGGGACCAGAGCAGGGGTGGGACGGTGGGTACCAGACGGGAGAACAGGTGGGATGCAGCATTCCCTCGATGCCCCGGCAGGTCCCGCTCCGCTACCGCCGCCGCACGGGCCGGTACACGCAGATGGCCATGAGGATGATGGTGAGCAGGAGGGCGCTGAGGATGCTGCCCAGCAGCACTGCGGCGGGAAAAGAAACAGCGTTAATTAAACACCGACAACTCACTCCCGAGCCCCGGACGGGCTGTGCCCGGTGGCCCCCCAGCTCCTCACCCAGGTTCTGGTGCTGCAGCACCGCGTAGGGCCGGCTGCGCTCCGCCGGGCCCGGGGACAGCGCCCAGCCCCGCGCCGCCGACAGCCCCATCGCGACAGCCGCGACACAGCCCGGCCCGAGCGGCCCCAGCCCCGCCGCCCCCCGGGCTTTGTGCGCCAGGCCCGGCCCTGCCCCTTCCTGCCGCCCGCCCCGCCCCGGCTCCGGCCTTCCGGGGACCGGCCGAGGGATCGGGAGCGGGGTCGGGATCGGGAATGAGACCGGCTGCGCCCCGCGTGTCCGCCCCGGCGCGTCCCTGAACCCCCGAGTGCATCTCCCCCAACCCCGTGTGTCCCCCCAGCTCCGTGTCCCTCCAAGCCCCGTGTGCCCCTCCAGCCTCCGCCGCGGTGAAAGTGAGTTTTGGAAGTGTTTAACTGGCTCCAGGGCGCCGAGGAACGTCGAGGCTGCACTGGGAGCGATAGGACGCGACTGGGAAGCCGCGGCAGGTGGCTGGTTCACACCAGTCCAGGGCTGCTTTGCCCCGACCTAGAATTTGGTTTTAAAACGAGATACGTAAAGGTCTTTCACTTTTCAAATGCCGGAGGCTGCCAATTCTCCGGATGCCCCCGGCTCAGCCGGGATGGGATGTCAGGAGGCACCGACCTGCCCGGCTGAGGCAGCACCTGCCGAGACCCACCCCAGGAACCCATCCCGGGGCCTTGGGGTCCAGTTCCTCCGCTGGGCCTTGGACCATTGTAGCAGAACAAGGTGTTGGTGTGTCAGGACAGCGGCAGCCCCCGTGTCCCCCAGCCCAGCCCTGAGCTCAGCCACGCACGGTGCTCCATGAACACAGAAAGGTGGGCTCTGGCTCCTCTCCCTCCGAGCATCGAGATCAGCTTTATTTTCCGTGTCACAGGACAGCTACAGACATGCACTGCTCCCACCCGCGGGTCTGCACAGCCAGGCCGTGGACATCTCCAGTGAGGAAATTCCTCCTCTGTCTGTGCTGGAAATCAGGGTTCTCCTCCAACCCGGGGAGTTTGGCCCCTTGGCCTCCAGCCCACAGGACACAGCAGTGGGTTCCAGTCTCCCTGCAGTGAATCAGAGGATTCCCTGTGGTGGGTCCTGTCCTCCCTGCTGTGGATCACAGGTTTCCCTGACAGAAGTGAGAACAGGCTCCAGTCTGCCAGGACGTGCCAGCGGTGTCACTTCCACTGGGATGCTCAGGCACACCATGGAGCTGCTGCTGCTGGCACCGGGGCAGACAAAGAGGGGCAGTTTGTGGTGAGGAAGGCAGTGGCAGCTGCTCTCCTGCTGCCCCAGCAGTCCCTGTGTCCCCCGGCCACGCTGGTGCTCTACAGGATGGGTGCCAAGCCCACCACCTCTGCCCGGGGGGCTCGCGTGGTCTTCTCCGGCCGGATGCAGACGGCGAGGCGCTGAGGGAGAGAGCAGGAGAGGGAAAACACAGTGGGTTTCTGTGGGGAGAAGCGGCAGGCCCATTGAGCCCCTAGAAGTTGAACCCCTAGAAGAGTACAGTATACTGGATGGCATAAGACCGTTCCCGTGAGAAGCAGAGAAGCTAATTAACCATTCCCATGAGCAGTATGGCCTTGAGAAGCAGGGAGTTAATTGGCAAGTTGATAAGTAGGTTTAGGGAGGATAGAGATGTGCAAGGACAAAAATGTTGGCTATGTTCATGGTGCAGGTGCACGACAATGGTATTTTGTAGAAATTATATTATTTACAAAAAAGTGTGTGAAAAAATGTGGGCTAGCTTTCCTAATAAAGGATGCTGCTGCGCTGAGGCTGCAGACAGCACTTGTCTCAACTTCTTGTGCAGTGTGTGTATGTGTATGTGTGTGCTTTTCTATATCGACCAAACCTAACAACTACGACAACTACACTGCGACAGGTTTCCTTCCTGCCATGAAGCCACGCTCCTCTGAGCGCTTCCCAGGCAGCTCTCCCGGTGGGATTTAATTGCCATATGAACAAAGATGCTGAGGACACAACCACCTGCCCAGCTCCCTGACCCTGGTCTCGGGCTGACCCGAGCAGGGGTCTCTGCCCACCCCAGCCCACCCAGGAGCCATGAGATTGCCCATCCTGCTCCTGACCTGCTTGAGAGACCCCGGTGTCCAGACGAGCTTGTACACCATGTAGAAGGGGATGCAGATGAAGGACGATGCTCCGATGAGGTGTCCCACCGAGGTGCTCCACTCAGGGTACTGGTAGTCAAAGAGGGTCAGGGGTGGCTGGTCCAGGAGGGAGCTGATGACTATGAACTGTAACAAGCGGAGCAGAGCTGTGAGGGACCTCAAATCCTGTGAGCAGGTTGGGCCCCTCACCCCAAGACAGACACTGAGGGGCTGGAGCATATCGAGAGAAGGGAATGGAGCTGGGGAGGGGGCTGGAGCACAAGTCTGATGAGGAGCAGCTGAGGGAGCTGGAGGGGCTCAGCCTGGAGAAAAGGAGGCTCAG